TAGGGGACATTGAGTCTGAGTGAACCATTTTCCATGCTTTCATTGTCAAGATGGCCGACCAGAGCTGCGGCCGAAAGGTCATCTGTGCCCAATGTGGTGGCAATCCTTGAGCCCGCAGGTGAACACCAATGGTTAGGGATGCTGTCAAGCTGTCAAGAATCCTATCAGATCTTTTTTGTCTGTGGGACTCCAGAGACAGCCGATGGGTACTGGCAGGCCAAGTGGAATGTGGCTCAGGTGGTCGCAGAGGCAACGATGGAGAGATGAGGTCCTGCCTCAAGTGGAGGAGTTTAAGTATCTTCATGAGTGAGGGAAAGATGGAGCGCAAGACCAGAAGGCGAATTGGTGCTGAGTCTGCAGTGATGCGGGCATTGTACCAATCTGTCGTGGTGAAGAAAGAGTTGAGGCGGAAGGCAAAGCTCTTGATTTACATGCCAATCTATGTTCCAAACCTGGTCACGAGCTTTGGGTAGTGACCGAAAGAATGAGATTGTGGTTACAAGCGGTCGAAAAGACTTTTCTCAGCAAGGTGGCTGGGCTCTCCCTTAGAGATAGGGTGAGAAGTTCAGTCATTCGGGAGGGGCTTGGAGTAGACCTGCTGCCCCTCCATATTGAGAGGAGCAAGTTGATGTGGCTCAAGCATGTCCAAAAGGGAGAAGACCTAAAGGAAGATCCAGGACATGCTGGAGGGACTATGTTTCTTGGCTGACCAGGGAAAACCTTAAGATTCCCCCAGAGGAGCTGGCCCAAGTGGCTGGGGAGAGCGGAGTCTGGGCTTTTAAACTTAGGCTGCTGCTCCCACAACCCAACCCCGGATAAGTGGTCGAAAATGAATGGATGGATGGTTGGATGGATGGTAAAAAAATGGTTTCTCAGTGAAGGACCTTTAAGATTTTTTACTCAGAAAACTGTAGCATCATGAAGGTCCTCTAAATTGTGACAAAGGTCACATTTTCCCAGCTGGGTCAAGCTGGGTCAGACTGTAACTTTTAGTTCCACAGATTAACCCAGCAGCCCTGATGTCTGCTGAGTAGCACCCCTTATCTGCTGCTGTTCCGTCCCAGAAGAAGGACACTTCAAGTTCACAATAATAACCTAAATAATAATATTAATAAACTCTCTGACTTTATTACTGTTTATTATAATCATCATAAATAATAACTTGGTTCAGTATAAATGTATTTTAATTACTGAAATGAATTATTATGCTTTGGGTTTAATAATGATTACTATGATTATGGTTGATGATCAGTAATGTGTGTTCAGTAACCAGAAGGTCAGCTTCCACTTATCCATCTAACAGAGTTTATCCAGAGTAAAGGGTAACTGCCATCTCATGTTTTTTGACTCATGACCAAAGCTTTCTTGCTCTGAGAGGGCTTGTTCTGAGGACTTTGTTAAACTAACTTCCAGCAGCTTTCACGCCAGTTCGTGAACCACCACCATCCTGAGGAAGGGAACGGCCGTCCTAACTCCACCTGCTGTTCTGTCACGCTGATAGAATAAGCTTTGAATAAACGTAACTGTAGCCAGCTGACGCAAAAACTCCTTCAGAGTATTGACTTGGAGACGCAAATAGCTCCACCAGTCGAGTGACCCAAGGAGGCACATCTGAGGACCGATTTGGTCGTGCCAGAGGTTTTTCTACCAACCTTGTGCCTGGCGGAAACCATCTCCGCCTGACACTTTGGATCCAAAAAGGGGGTCTTCTGTACTGGGCGAGGTAGACATTCTGACAGATTGTGTTTGATGCTGTTTTCTCTAAGTAAACAACAGTTAGCTGCAAACCATCATTTCCAACCCAGAACGCGTTCCTCTCTCTGAAAGAAACCTTCTGAAAAATCCATTCACACATCCAAACTCGTATTTTCCATTTAGCTTTCATCCAGCCACAGGTTCGCCTTTTAAAACAAGTTTAATATCAAAGCTGTTAAAAACTGTCATTAAATTATCCATGAATTGTCATTATTAATTGTCATTCAAATCGTAAAGTTTAAACTTGTTAGTAATAAATTCTTCATTTTTAAACTTGCCTCATTCTTTGAAATGAAACACAGAAAGGTATAATTATTTCTGGTTATTGAAGATTCCTACCTTCTGATTCAAAAACAAACATTTGCTATTAAATTTAATTATCTTAAATTAAACATTAATCTTTGGATTAAAAATAGACCAAACAGGTTGGTGTATGAACTTACATCGATCCTTGATATTTACACATGATGTAAGCTTCATAGATTAATCTGCTTGGTCATTCTCAGAATCTACAACTGATAGCAAACAGTGTTGATTCTAGTATGTAGTCTAACTCTACAAAACTGAGGAAGTCCAATTTCAAATGAAGTCCAGATACAGTCAAATGAATTAGCTGAGACGTTACATCTGCTGCTGTTGGCTTGGTCTGATTTAGATTGTAAATGTGGGATTTCTAAAGCACTAAAGTATCAAAAGACTGAGCTTTCAAACACTTTTCTCATTGCATCTATTCAGTTGAACAAAGGAAGAAAAAGTTTTTGTTGGTTCAAACATTAAAGTAGTACCGACATCCTTCAATAAATCCATTTGGTGGAATTTAGACAAAAAGAAATGAGTTGGCCAAAAGATCTCAGAGAGCTGCAACGGCTCCAGGGTGCTATAACACAGACAGAAACACAGCCTTACATAACCACAACACATGCTCTTACTCTCTCATGTATATATATATATATATATATATATATATATATATATATATATATATGTGTGTGTGTGTGTGTGTGTGTGTGTGTGTGTGTGTGTGTGTGTGTGTGCGCGCGCGCTGCATAACACATAAATAATTTTGTGATCTACTAAAAGATTCTTTGATGCTCCTGTGAAATAAAATGAAGCCTCTAAATCAGGGCTATTCAAATCTGGCCAGGTATCCAGCACATTTTGGTTTTAACCTGCTTCAACACACCTGATTTCAATCAGCAGGTGATTAACAGGCTTCTACAGAGCCTGGTGAGCTGCTGCACAGGTGATTCAACCACTGAAGATAGTGTGTTGGACTAGAGAAACCATTAAGACATGCTGGATATCGGCCCTCGAGACCCAGAATTGAATGGCTCTGCTCTAAATAATTGAAAAGCAAGATTTCTTAAATTTTACAGAGTTGCCAAAATAACCCCAAAGACAATAAATTATGGATCTTCCTCAAACAGCTATCATAAATAAGACTGCTTTAAAAACGCAATGAGAGCACCGTATGTGCTTGGGTTTTGATTCTCATCCACCCACACGTTCCAAGAGCTTTCAACAGAAAGCCAAATCAGGATGTTTTTAGGCTCATCTGATGGTCAGAAAACAAAATTCACTCACAATCTGAGACCACTAATGAGGTCCACTGGGTATGCACTGATCATCTAATGTGGTTCTAAAATAAAAAATCTGTGCTGAACCTTATCAGCCTCTGCTCTGTACTGTACCGACAGTTCTAATGCAATAGTGGGTAACTTTTAAACCTTGCATATTCTTAGCAGGATAGGAAAGAGGTGGTGATGACTCATCAGTATAAAGTTGTGACTTTGCCCGTTTTTTGTGTCTCTGTTGCATAAATCACAGCTGATTCCCACCTCCCCCCAGTTCTGCTCATCTGCTCCAAACGCCTCCGTCTCACCGAGAGTGAATCTTTTCTGGGCACAAACAGACTGACCGCTGACATGCGGTCAAGGCCGGATTATAATATGGACAAACTGGGTACAGGCCCTGGGGCCCACAGCCACAAGGGGGCCTACGCAAGCAGCAGTCTTAATTTATTTATTTTTTTGTGCAGCAGTCTTAACGTTGGAGAAAAATGTTGACAAGTAATTTAAATTGCGCCCAGATTTTCTGAGTTAACACATTTCTTTTAACAACGGTAGTTTCTGCTTCAGCCCTCTCCCCCCTCCCCCAGCGCAGCGGCCGCAAACTCACTGATGCACCTGCAGCCTCTCAGAGTTGCTGCTGCTCTAAACATTAAAATAATTATTTAATTTTCTGTTCCTCACTTCTGATTACCTTCAATGGTGTCTGTTTGTTGCAACCACCAGGTACAAAAACTAACTTGTTTTTATTTGACTATTTTTCTGTCCTGTCTATTTATTATCTTCCTGCATCTCCTCTCAATCCTAAAGAAAAACTGCTACCTGGCTTCATATATATTCACCTCATGAGTTACCTTTGAACTGCAGTTCTAAAAGATCTACCGACTGCAAACATAGCGGAGTGCGCACAGCGCGCCGGCCACACCGGTGAGGTGAAATCACCTGAGGACAAAACAGGTTTTCCGCTCCGTAGCAGTAAAACGCATCAGGCACAAATAAAAGACAGAAAGCCTGATTGGATATGAGCCGACATGAACGATCGCGTGTAAAATTTTCTTTGAGGTGGCGACACTTTGAGAACGTTACTGTGGCCGTGCTCAGGACGCATCTGTCTGGAGCGCGTCAGCCATCAGAGCTCTTCACCTCTCGGCTCTAAATAATCCCA